ATAATAATATTATTACATTGTCATGATTTTCAAATGCATGGTTGATGTATTTTATTCTCTTTATTTTCAATGATTTGCTAATTACATTGTTATATTTGCTAAAATTGCTATCCAACCAGCAAGCAAAACACTATTTTAGCAACAACAAAAAATAAAAATAAAAATAAATAAATAAATAATAGGCGTTGAGCAGCTCCAAAGAAAACGCAATTGCGGCAAAATAAAATAAAAAAATGCATTTGATAAACAGTGCAACGCCATATCTGTTCATCAAATGTCATTTTTGTGTATTATTTTCTTTCTTATTTGCCCCTATGGCCTACTTTAATTTGCTAATAATCCTTTCATGTCCTTTATTTTGTTTTAATGTATTTGAATATTTTGTTAAATATACTTAAACATAAATTTTATATTATTAAAAATAAATTATATCAATTGAAATATCTCTTCAAGATGATGAAAACAAGACTAACGGGGTGTATTCAATCATGACTTTCATAGACTTTTAAAGACTTTTATGAACTTTAAAAGTTTAGAGGTATTCAATTCAAACTTTTATGGAGTCTTTAAAAGTCATGAGGTATTCAATCAAGATTTTTAAAGAGTCTTTAAAAGTCGTGTGGTATTCGATTAAGACTTTTAAAGAGTCTTTAAAAGTCACGCGGTATTCAAAAAGTTATGAACTTTTATAGACTTTTTAATTTTAGGACTTTTGTAAACTTTTCCTTCTCAAATATTAATAGTTGAAATCCAACCATCAACCCCAAGATTTCAAAAAAAAAAATAAAAAATTCTACCAACGAATGTTTTCTCTCTCTATTTAACATCTATTTTTTTTATATCCCTATTAAACTTTATAAACCTTACACCTAAATTCAATAAATTATTTTTTCTTCATTATCCTATATTTTTTTCATACCTGAACTCTACTAATTTTTTATCTCTCCTAAACTTTACCATCTTCCTCTAAAAAATCGAATAATATTATTTTTACTTCATTATTGCTTGTTTATTTTGATTTTTTTTTCTATCAACTTTTCCCCCCTAACTTCTAAACTTTTTCTACGAAATTTCTACCATAACTTCTAAACTTTCTCTAATTCTTCCTAAATACATGAACAAAAACAAAATTTTCATATATCAACGTCAAATTTTACTATATGTTTCATAATATTCATATAAATACTTATATATTTTGATTTTTATTCTTTTTATGTTTATATTCGTAATATATTTTTTTTCTTTTTTAACAACATGTTATTACGAATAGCGAACTACTATTTGCAACAACAATTTGGGGCTGCAAACAGTAATAATATATAAGTAAATAGCATATAAGTCTCACAATGCTATGGATAAAAATAATAATGTTGAGAATGTTGATGTGGGTGAAAAAATTATATAATAAGAAGAATTTTATGATATATTATAGTGAAAAGGGTCAAATAAGCCCTTAAACTTTACCTAAAAAATCAATTAGGTCCATGAACTTTTAAAATGTGCAATTACAACCTTTTACATGTTAAATGGAGTCAATTAAACCCAACAACCTGTAAGTGACCTACTATTGCAGGTCATTTCTGTATTCCGGCGAAATTCCTGTGGCCAGTTGGCCGTAACCGTCGCAGGGAGAAAACTTCGGGTTCCGGAGATCATCCTTGGTGAGAATTGTACAGCACAGACGGGGAACTGTATTGAATTCCTCGACGGTAGTTGCCGGCCACGAAGCACTATCGTCGCCGTCGACGTAAGTGCACCGCCGCCAATCCCGCCGCGTGCAGCTCGCCACCACCACACTCCCCACCCCACATGAAACCGACATAACAGAATCTACTCATCCCTAGTTCTAGTTTTACGATCGATGAATTGAATTAGATTAAACGATGAGATTAACAATTGGATTCAGAATTCATTTGAATTTAAGCATTATATTAATGGAGGAATTTGAAGTCGCAGACGGCGGAAACCAAAACATTGGAAGAAACGCATTGAATTTCAAAGATTATAACTTCCTTTAATCCCATAAGCTTCAGCTAAGCCATTGAATCTTCTTCTGCTGTTTTCCATGGAAGCTTCTAGCACAGTCAATTTTCATGTTTTTACTTTTTTTTTTTTTTTTATATAATGAAAAAACACCCATTAAACATGTTAAATGAATTTAATAAGACCGTTCTTAAATTCTAATGTTGGGCAGAGCTTAAATTTATGTTCACAGTTGCCGGTTGCCGGAATTTCACCGGAATACAGAAATGACTTGCAATAATAGGTTACTTACAGGTTGTTGGGTTTCATTGACTCCATTTAACAAGTTAAAAAGTGTAATTGCACATTTTTAAAGTTTATGGACCTAATTGACTTTTCAAATAAAGTTTAGGGGTTTATTTGACCCTTTTCCCTATATTATAACATGTTTGGTAAAAAATTATAAATGATAAGAATTGAAATCATTGAAAGTTTGTAATGGTGTATTCAATTTAGAATTTCAATGACTTTTGTAGACTTTTTTTAACTAAAAAATTGATAAAAGTTTATGAATGTTTTTTGTATAGACTTTTAAAGAGTCTTATAAAGTTTTAAAAAATTTTGAATGACTCTATGAAAGTCAATCAAAGTTGATTAAAATCTATAATTTTAAAAGTCTTTAAAAGTCTACAAAAGTCATGATTCAATACACCCCCTAATATTGATGTAAAATATTAATACAAAGTTTTAGTTTATAAGACTACAAATTATTTTAGTGAAGAAATAAAATTTGATGTAGAATTTGGTATAAATCGGTTGGTGATTACTCTTTTTTTTTTTTTTTTTTTTTTTTTTTTTTTTTTTGCATTATAAATGAAAATAATATGACAATAATTAATTTATGATATTTATCAACTTGTGCCTTAAAAAAAATAAGATTTTCACTCAGGGTTAAAAATCATATTTATTATTAATAAATATTTTTATTGTTGTTTAATAATTTTAACACATTTTAATATTGAACTTAAACTTTTGCATATTATGCATAAAAATGCCTAATCTAAAAACATAATAAGTGTGAATGAAAGTTATACCCCTGATTTATGTCCATTTTTTTCGTTAAGTTTTTTTTGTACATTATGCTATAAAAAATATAATAAGTGTGAATGAAAGTTATACCCCTGATTTATGTCCATTTTTTCCGTTAAGTTTTTTTTGTACATTATGCTATAAAGGTTGTACATTAAAATATTTTGGACAAACATACCCCTACCGTTATAACTTCCGTTATCTTTTCCACTATTGTTAGCATGCACATGCATCCACGATATATTTTCTTATCTTCTTCATTAATAATAATATATAAACATTATATATTTGAGTTATATGTTAATTATTACATAAAATATAAATATCAAATTTATAAAAATGATTTACATTATTATTATTATTTAGAATAATTTAAATATCTAAAATCTAAATAAATTTAAAATTTTAATATAATGTATTAATATTGGGCACCTACTTTTTGCACATCGCGCATAAAAAATACTAGTATTGATATACGGGTGATTACTTTATTTTCACCAATTATATACCTAAACAGATTAATATAATCTGACACAGCATATTAATAAGTAGCTGGAATAGCTCAGTTGGTTAGAATGTGTGGCTGTTAACCACAAGGTTGAAGGTTCAAGCTCTCCGTCTAGCGAGTTTTAACTGTTTTGCATCTCCGCTCCAAGGACATCGTCTGGGTTTATACTTGTAAGAGAATGGGAAATGTATCATAATATGTCGGTAACTCGGTATCATATTTAATTTGGTGATGTACCACGATTTTGGAGATATATGCAACACCTTGGAACATATTATTTTAAAAATATAAAAAATATTTCGGATGTCTTTGTTTTAACTGTTTTGCATCTCCGCTCCAAGGACATCGTCTGGGTTTATACTTGTAAGAGAATGGGAAATGTATCATAATATGTCGGTAACTCGGTATCATATTTAATTTGGTGATGTACCACGATTTTGGAGATATATGCAACACCTTGGAACATATTATTTTAAAAATATAAAAAATATTTCGGATGTCTTTGCTTTAAAATATATAGGTCTATCAGAAATTTAAAAAATTGTCCGCACAGGCTTAATTCAATGGTTCAGTGGACAGTATTTGGGAGAAGAGACCAAGGTTCGAATCTTGGCGGCGGCAGTGTGGGAATTATGTCCAAAGTGGGCACCGTGATTTACATCCTCCCAAATAGGTTCAAACCTTGGCGGTGACAGTGTGAGAATTATGTCCAAAGTGGACACCGTGATTTAGAAAAAAAACAATTGTAATTAAATATTTGTTACCTTTTCTTTAAGATAAAAACTTCATAATTAAAGAATTGAGGATCCTCCAACAGAACATTACAAAGGAAATTAGGAGGGCGGCAAAAAAATAAAAATAAAAATTGGAGGGTGTGGTTGAGTGGAAGGGACTCATCCATTTGTAATGAAAGGTCAAGGTGACGGATATATTAGGAATCGACCCGCACCGACCCGGGGGCGCGGACAAGAACGGGTCCCGGGGCGGCGCCGCGCACCCGCCCCGGCCTCTCCAGGAGGCCGGGCCGACCTCCAAATGGGCCCGGCCCGAGCCCATGACGGGCTCGGCCTGGCCCCCCAGCACGGCCCGGTCGCGAGACCGAGCGCGGTCAACTCAGATCTAACCACCCCCCGCTTTGGGGGGTGGCGGTTAGGGGCGGGGGTTGTATAAAAACCCCCCACCTTGTCCAGTTAGGACACGATCTACTTTACAGACACACTTTGTACTGAAGAATCATTGTAATAGCCAATTCCACGGCATTTAATACAATCTACGGTCTCACGGCCTTTACTATATCATTCGTATCATTCATTTATTATCCGTACTCTTATTCGGGTTAGTTAAGTCGGACCCCCGGTTTAATTAATTCCATCATTGGTGCTCTTGTTGAGAGCTGCTGTACAAGCTTGAGCGCTCTCCCCACTATTGTTCATCGACAGCGATGGCACGATCGAGATCCGGCTCTCGTCATACCAATGGTTCCCGCGGCACCCAGCTCGTCGCGAACGGGAACGGCCCCAACGGGGCCCCCGCCCCCAGCATCCAACCAGCCGCCTCCGCCAGGTCGGGGGAGGATCTGAGGGCCCAGCTCACCACCCACCGTAGCAGTGGTGCATTGCCACCACCCCCTGTTGCCCCCGCTCCGGCTCGCGCGCTCATCCAGGAGGGGGTGGCGGTCTTCGAACAAGCCTCCACGGCGCTGGCGCGCGTCGCGGCGAGCCTTCGGGCAGAGGAACAAGCCGAACTAGGCGCCACCCGAGGGGCGCCGGCGTCACCTCCACCTCCTCCCACCCGGGGGAGCAGCGGTCCAAGCACCCGGCCACCCCAGGTACCTATCACCCAGGGGGAGGTCAACTCGCCTCGACCATCGGAGAGGCGGGGAGGAGGGGACTCCCGCCGAGGCCGCCAGCGCGACGACGATGGAAGGGCACCAACCCAAACTAGGCCCGCCCTGGAGAGGTTGGGCGATCACGTGTCGGCCCGGGACAGGCTGGGTCCGAGGCCAGCCAACGGTTCCCGCGGCACCCAACTCGTCGCGAACGGGAACGGTCCCAACAGGGCCCCCGCCCCCAGCATCCAACCGGCCGCCTCCACCAGGTCGAGGGAGGATCTGAGGACTCAGCTCACCAACCACCGTGGCAGTGGGGCACCGTCACCACCCCCTGTCGCCCCTGCTCCGGCTCGCGCACTCATCCAGGAGGGGGTGGCGGTCTTTGAACAAGACTCCACGGCGTTGGCGCGCGTCGCGGCGGGCCTTCGGGCAGAGGAACAAGCCGACCTAAGCGCCACCCGAGGGCGCAGCGGTCCAAGCACCCGGCCACCCCAGGCACCTATCACCCAGGGGGAGGTCAACTCGCCTCGACCATCGGAGAGGCGGGGAGGAGGGGACTCCCGCCGAGGCCGCCAGCGCGACGGCGATGGAAGAGCACCAACCCAAACTAGGCCCGCCCTGGAGAGGTTGGGCGATCACGTGTCGGCCTGGGACAGGCTGGGTCCGAGGCCAGCAAACGGGCCACCGGCGGAGGAATCATGCTCCCGCCGGCCACTGCGACAAGAATCGGCCACTCGGAGGTCGCTGAGCCATGGGCCACGCGCCCAGCCGCGACACGAGGCAGCTTCGCGTGGGTCCGCAGGGCGGGTTCCCCGACCCCACCCGCGACGTGAGCAGGCCTCCCGGGTCGAGCGATCGGGTGAAACGAATGATAGAGCTCCGAGCTCCCATCGGGTAGAGGTCGAGCAGCTGCGGAGGAGGATGGACGAGCTCTAGAAGAAGATCGATGAGAGGGACGGATCTCCAGAGCCCCAGGATATGTTGTCCTCCCCGTTCGCAAACGCCATCATGGAGGAGCCCTTACCTCGAGATTTTTGCTTTCCCACCATTAAAGCGTACTCGGGGACCACGGACCCGCGGGCACACATGACCAGGTACAGGGCCGCCATGATGATCACCGAGGCAACAGACGCCATCCTATGTAGGGGGTTCTTCGCCACCCTGGACGGGCAAGCGCATGATTGGTTCGGATCCCTCCCGGCGAGGTCCATCTCCACCTTTGCGGACCTCACCCGGCAGTTCCTATCCCATTTCGCCACCAGCATACCACGGAAGAAGCAAATTGCCGACCTGTGTGATTTGAAGCAGGGGAGCTCGGAGTCACTGGCCGAGTACCTCAGCAAGTGGAAGAAAGAGGCCATGGGGGTCGCCGACTTTGATGGGAAGTCAGCCATGGTGATTTTCCGAAACAACTTGAGGTCAGGCGCTTTTCACCAGGACCTCATCAGGTACCCCCCCAGGACCTATACCGACCTGATGGACAAGGCAGCAAGGTACGCTGACGCCGAGGCTGCCGAGAAGAGGAAGAAGGAACAGGAGGAAGGAAGAGGTCGAAAAGACAAGGCGCCCCAGGAGGAGCGCAAGGCGCCGCGCCCACACCGACGTGAGTACGCTGAGGGGCCCAGGCTGAACCCCACACGCTATCTCACCCCGCTGACACAACCTGTGGGTACCATCTTGGCGCACGCGGAGGACCAGGGAATCGTGGTATTCCCGAAGGAGGAGTGCATGAAGATATCGGCGAGGGGGGACCCCAACAAGTACTGCAGGTTCCACCGGCAGAAGGGGCACGATACAGACGAATGCATCCTCTTAAAGAGACAAATCGAGGAGCTCATCCAAATGGGTTACCTCGGCCAATTCATTAAGAGGCCCGGCCAGGCGCAAGGCCAGGCGCAGGGCCAGAAGCAAGGCAATGTATGGAGGAAGGGGGGTGGCCAGGAGCCATCCACCTCGGCTCCCCGTAAGAGGGACCACCACGACAACAGCTCCGAGGAGGAGGAGAAGACGACAGAGGACTCCCAGCCCCCGAGGAAACGAACTATCTACGTCATCTTCGGGGGGCCTGAGGGAGGGGACTCGCCAGCCGAGCGAAAGAGATGGGCGAGAAGCTTGTACGTGGGGGAGGTCACACGAACACCCCACGAGAAGAAATCAAAGAGGGAGCCCATCACGTTCACCGACGCCGACCTACCTGACGGGCCCCTCCCCCACCGGGACGCCTTGGTGGTCAAGCTGGACATCAACAACGTGGTGGTGCACCGGGTGCTCGTGGACACGGGTAGCTCGGTCAACGTCATGTACTACGACACATTCACCCAGCTGGGACTCTTAAGAGGGCAGCTGGAGCAGGTACGAACCCCCCTATCTGGGTTCACGGGGGACTCAATCGAGACAGAGGGGTCGATCACTTTGAAGGCGGAGATAGGCACCCCACCTCACACCAGGAGGTGGGAGGTCGAGTTCGTAGTCGTCAAAATCAACTGCGCCCACAACATCATTCTCGGCCGACCCGCCCTAGAGGACCTCAGGTGCGTGATTTCCATGGAGCACCTGTGCCTCAAATTCCCGACACCGACCGGGGTCGGGGTCGCCCGAGGGGACCAAAAGGTGAGCCGCAGTTGCTACTTGAAGGCGTGCCGCCAAATTGGTCAAAAGGACCGCCAGGTCCACACCAGGACGGCCACGTAAGAGGAGGATCTTGGCATTGCTATTCTAGGAGGAGGACCATTCCCCTCCCCCAATAATGTCTTGATGAACAACAATAAGCGGAATAAAGTTTCATGTCACGAAACACGTTGTGAGTAGGACCCTTGTTACGACGTTGGTTCTCAAAAAAAAAAATAATAAAAATAAAATAAAATAAAATAAAAATCATGAAACAAAGGGGGAACGGGTGCTCACTCATGACTTCCCCCCGCGGACCATAAGGGGGCACGAGGTCCGACCTCGCGTACCAACCCCGACGGAGGACGCACCCTAAGGGGGCACGAGGGCCGACCTCGCGTACCAACCCCGACGGAAGAGCCCGGTGGCACAGTCCGAAAGGACTTGGCCCGAGCGGCTAACGCGCACCCTAAGGGGGCACGAGGTCTAACCTCGCGTACCAACCCCGACGGAGGAGCCGGTGGCTTGGTCCGACAGGACTGGGCCCAAGCGGTTAGGCGCACCCTAAGGGGGCACGAGGTCCAACCTCGCGTACCAATCCCGACGGAAGAGCCCGGTGGCGTAGTCCGGAAGGACTTAGCTCGAGCGGCTAAAGTACCCTAAAGGGGCACGAGGCCGGACCTCGCGTACCAACCCCGACGAAGGAGCCCGAGTGCCTAGGATTGAACGAGCCAGGACGGAGCGGCTATCGCACCCTAAGGGGGCACGAGGCCGGACCTCGCGTACCAACCCCGACGGAGGAGCCCGAGTGCTTAGGCTCGAAAAAAAAAAAAAAAACAGGGGCGGTTTGGAGGACCTCGGCCATAGGCCGAGGTCGAGGTCGGCCCGACCTCGGCGTGGCAGGTCGGCACGCGAGGTCGGTGCGACCTCGGCGTCGGAGGATGGCGCAACCCCGGCAAAGGGGGACGACCGTCGCCGAGGCCGACCCCGGCGTGGCTTGAGCCCGGGAGGTCGGCCGGGGGGCCACGAAGGCGCGGCCTGCAGGCCACCCCCGTGGCAGCGTCACGGCGACGCCACCGCGCCGGCGCCGTGACGGAGTGACATGGCAGAGATGCGACGATCCGTATGCGTCCTAGCAGATGAAGGAGTCATGTTCCGGATGGAGTTCTCGTCATTATCACAAGAAGTGCACTTTGACGTCACCTATAAGGCTGGGACGCGGACATCTCGGGGTCGACATTTTGGGGGGTCGGCCGGAGCATCTACTCTCCTTCACTGACGATTACTCGCAGCTCGGAGAGTGGGGGACTGATGACGGATATATTGGGAATCGACCCGAGGGCGCGAAGCAAGAACGGGTCCCGGGGCGGCGCCACGTACCCGCCCCGCCCGGGGCCTCACCACGTGGCCCCCGCACGGGCCACGTTGGAGGCCGGGCCTGCCTCTCCAGGAGGCCGGGCCGGCCTCTCCAGGAGGCCTGGCCTGCCTCTCCAGGAGGCCGGGCCTGCCTCTCCAGGAGGCCGGGCCGACCTCCACATGGGCCCGGCCTGGGCCCATGACGAGCTCGGCCTGGCCCCCGCAGTGCGGCCCGGTCGCGAGACCGGGCGCGGTCAACTCCAGATCCAACTAACCCCCCGTTTTAGGGGGAGGCGGTTGGGGGCTTGGCTTGTATAAAAGCCCCCCTCCTTGTCCTAACGAGGGACACGCTATCTACGATCCACATTTTCATACATACTTTGTCCTAAAATACTACTGTAATAGCCAATTCTACGGCATTTAATACGATCTACGGTCTCACGGCCTTTGCTATATCATTCGTATCATTCATTTATTATTCGTATTCTTATCCGGGTTAGTTAAGTCGGACCCCCAGTTTAATTAATTCCATCACAAGGGTTCAATCCTTGGCTTTGGGAATGGAGCAGCCTAGTCTTAAATTTCCAGGCCAGCTGTCCTACCCAAAAAATGTGCCTCGCAAGTCGGTTTCAATCCAAATCTTTGCAAGGTTTTGAGGCTTTAGCCAACGAACTACTTCACGAACAAGAATCACCTTAGCAACTTTAAGAGGGTATGTGCCCTTCCAGGGGATACTGTTTGCAACTCTTGTGCTAATCCCGAAGAATCCATCCTAGTGAGGGGTTTTTCTCATTTGACAGTGACACCATTTGTAGTAGAGAAGGTATTCACATTTCCTTTCGTCACTTCCTCCCAATCCCTGAGATGGTTGAAGTAGAAATGTCGCACCACACTTTATTGTTCCTAGCTAACCAAATATTCCATTAATAAAAGACATATATGGCCCTAGCTTATTTGATCACTATTAGATGTTTAACTTGGTTAAAAAGTCTATATAAGTGTTTGACTAATTAGCTTTTTGTAATAACTTATTGTTCCAAAAAGCTAAAAGTTGCTCAAAAACAGCTTTTTCAATAGATTTTTTGAAAAAGTCATTTTACACAATTTTTTTAACCTCAAAATGACATCGTTTTAGATCGTGGCCTACACAATAATTTGCCATTTGTGCATAGGTAGAATTATAATTTGTTTCTGTTATAAACATATTTAGTGGACATCATTTGTAACGGATGCTTTGATTGCTCATTATGTATATTTATATCCTTTGTAATGGACACATCTTATATCATGGTGTGGAGATGAATGAAAAGATGGGCCTTCCCTCTCCATTCTCTATTTCCTTCTTCTCCTTACTTGCGTTTATATTATTTTATTCAACACGTTATCAGTACTTTGCTCTACAATGCCTTGTGATCGCGAAATTCTTACTCGCGTCTTCGATCGCCGGTGCGGCGCTACCTCTGGCGCGATTGATGGCCAATCTGGTGATGCACTGGCCGTCTACTTCCAGCACAGAGAGAAGGGAGGAGATGAAGAAAACGAAACTGCAATCACAACCGCACGTTTTACACGGTCGGTGGCCGAGATCCACTCCAATGTGCGACAAGCAATCGGCCTCCTATCAACCATCCGATCACTGGCAATTATTCCTGCCTTCCGATCGATGACCATCGGCTGAGACGCCGGCGATCAGAGTGTCCAACTATTGATCCACTTCGGACCATCCCCACCGTGTTCGTTCGACGCTCAAAGGATGATCGCCGGCTTTCCCAGTCGGCTCCGCACTCGCAGCCGGATTATCGCGATCGGCCTGAGTGCTCGTCGCTACCTCCATCGCGGCGAATGGTTGACGCGAGGAGTCAGTAACGGGCTTCACCACTCCAGCTTGCTCCGGCAAGAGGCGGCGTCTGGGACTTTCTCACCGAACCGCCTAGACCTCTCCGCCCTGGGATCAGCCGGCGATCGAGATCAGA